TTTTAAAAATTATAAAAATATTGTTTCAACTAATTATTCTTTATTTGTTCACTTTAATGAATATAAATCGAGATTAACTAAAATGTATATATATATGTATATATAACTAACTATGTTATTATAGGAGATAATAGGATTTGTTTTAGTTCAGTTAAGTTCCTCGTAGTAGTAAGGTACACTCTGCACTTTCTTATGCTTTTTATTGACTGTCAATTTTCAAAAAAGTTGAAACTGCAAAACACAAAATACCTAAAAATCCACATTCGTGACTTGACTGTCAAAAACCTTGTTACCTCAGGCTTTGGTTCAATTTGAGCAGTGACATTCAACCGTGGTTTGCACTTTAACTTCATTTATCTAAACTCTTTACACATGCACTCTTTATGTGCATGTGTGCGTGAGTGTGTGTGTGTGTGGGGGGTCGGGGGGGGACAGGAAGTAGCTGACCTACACACAACCCTGATACACCTTAGATAAAAACCTCAAACACACACACAAAAACAAACATGCACTTCCTGAAACGGTATCTTATTACTGCTTCACACCCACCCACGCACACACACACACACACCCACACACACACACACAGTCTTTGGGGAAAACAGTTGGCAGAGCACATCAACAGCAATGTGTATCGGGTGAACAGTTTTTCAGTAAAACATCTACAAATACTTCTGACCTTTCCAGGTAAAATGTTAGAAATCTCAGAATTTGTTCACGAAATCACCATGACACCGGCTTTTTATGCTTTTTACCTGTAAAACTGGTATTTTGGAAATATGAAACCAAATTGTAAAGCTGGGAAAATTGGCTTAACGTTTTGTAAACATTAGCCGAGTTAGCTAATGTTACACTCGCGCTCTGATAACAGAACGTTACATGGTTTTTCAACTGCGAAAGGAGACACAGTATGACAAGAAAACACGCAAACTCCATTCAGACGGACCAGGAAGCTAAGCTCATTTTTACTAAGGTGCCAAATCAGCGTCATGATATCAGGAGCTCTGGTATGGCCCTTCGCAACTGGAAGACTGTATACATATAACCACTCCATATCAGATTGGTAAATAACTGCTTATTTATAACATTATTTATCCAAATAAATCTGTAGTACTCCTACTAATACTAACATACCTCTTTGTATCGGCTGTAATGAATCAGGGCAAAGTTAAGTGTTTGCCAGTTTATATGATACATATCATGATACAGGGGCAACAATACGACATATATTGCAATATACTGGATACTATAAGCACAGCAATATATAAGTATATAAGCAATATATAGAGTTTTTTTTTTTTAATAATTTAATCGTATGGAAACTGTTAGCATTGTAAACACACAATGCTGTTACATGGTTAACATTAGGTTACTCAAATTGGAACGGAGGGATTTACATTACTAGTCACTAGGGGAAAAAAATAAAAGCAAAATAAAATGAACCAGTGGCATGAATATTGTTAATTAAAAAAAACGATACAGAGAATATCGATATAGGATTGTGAAATTAAATATTGCAATATTTCAAAATCCGATAAGCCACTATTATCCAAACACTTAATTTCCGATTCCGATATATACCGATATATGCAGCCGTTTGCTCCCAAGCAAAGGTAAACGTCTCACGACCCTACAAGCTATTCTAGCATATTTGACAAGACCTAGGCATTGTGTTATCAGGTTTTTATTATCAGAGGAAAAACTGATAATAATTCTTACCCATATTACATAATTATACAAATATCGGGCAGATAAGATCAGTCGACCAAATATTGTCAGCAACCCCTAATTTATTTTAATAAATCCAATATAATCATTACAACAACAACACTGATGATGAATTTTTGGCCAATTGATTATGAAGATAAATAAACAAAAACAAGTTACAAAATGGTGTAAATGAGTTCTATATAGAACGACATGTTGATGAGAAATGTATTTCATTAGACTAGAATGACACGAGAATGAGCAGAATGAAACTTGACAAACGGTAAGTAATATTTGCAACAATATCAATGGCGTTAGTATTAATAACAGTTGCGTTATGTATTGAAAGTCTTGTCTTTAAATAGAAACGATCAATCTTGACTTTTATTGGCTGCTTCTCTGCTCTCAAAACTCTGCTCTGGATCAAACAACTCGTCGGCTGAGCAGAATATTAAACAAGCCTCAGACAACAGTGTGAATGTGCGTGTGCATGTGAGCGCATGCACATATATATATGTTCTAGGCCTTGTCTATTAAATTGGCTTTCAAAGAGTCCTTGAGTTTACCTGCCAAAAACAGACCCAGCAATATACAAGGAGTAATAAATGCTGCCAGAACTCAGTGTGTGTGTGTGCGCGTGTGTGTGTGTATCACAATGTCAGCCAAGATACTAACAGAGCTCTTATTCTGACTTTGGTCAGATGCCAAATCTTACCCGCCCCCTACAGTTGCAGACCCAAGATTTCTAAGTGAAGTACTGGAAAACCAAGGTTATGTCCAACGTAATTCTATTACACTGCTCCAACAGGGAAAGTCAATCATTTGATATTTGCTTTTTTTTTGACTGCATTTAATTAATTATTTTATTTGTTTACACTCCTGTTGGCATTGTTTTGCTAAGGCCTAAACTATGGCATGATATCAGATGTATTGGTTCTTCATAAAGTCGTAGTGTATAATACTGCACAAGGGTTTTAGATGAGGCAGAAACTTGGAAATTGTAACCTTTGACTTCTTCAAGCATTTCAAGCAGAAAGTCATTCTTCAACAATCAATATTTCCAGCAATCCTGGGTTGCAGGCAATTTGTCCAGTATGCATATCAAATGTTATTTTTAGCCCCTTCCCTTTAAACGGTCCTCTACATTGTTTAAAAAAAAAAACTTGACAATTTAAAAAGTCTTAGTGTGCATGTAATTGGTCACTGATAGAGTGTTAGTGGATAATGTGTTCATTTTTAAGGGTCCATAAAGTACTTTACAGATAAATGAAGAAAGGTTTTTAAATGTAGCTCTTTATGCACTGAGAAGACAGTCCACAGTTCCCTTGTGCCTCTGGCATCATACTGTACTCCTGCCCAGCTGCTGGGGGTGTTAGCATGTGAGCTAAACTGAAGCTAACAGCCAATGGAGCTTACACAGTATGTCTTTGCAGCTGTATACATGTTTTAACCCTGTCGAGAGAAGGGACAACATCCACTGGTTTCCAGAAATTGAATAAATCGTTCAAAAGCACATTCTCACAGTGAAGAGCTAGCAAGTGCTAAGGCTAGGAAGAGGTGACTGGAAAAGGGTGAGAAGTGTTGGTTTAATCTGGTCAGACCTACACAGTGTCTCTTAAGTAAACAAACGTGTTACGGAAAGGTCATAATTTATAACAAAGGACATTTTCAAAGTGTGGTTATTGGACTGGATTGGCCTTGAGGTATCAGTTAAAAAGTCCATAGTGTGCCTCCCTGGAACAGGATGATAGATAGGCAAACAGTTGTATTTCTAGGAAGTAAAATACCATGTGATTTTATAGACACTAATGTCATAAGAGATTTTGATAGATTTTATTCCTGCTAACTATTGTGTAAAAGTCATACGTTTGGTGACGGTTGGAAAAATGAAGAGACCGCAAGTTGCAGCTAAACATGGACACAAAGATCACATGGAATGAGGGAGTCAAAGTGTGGCTCATCACTCCACCCCCTGACTGTCATTACTCTGCTACAGCTGCTTCAGCATGTGACCATATCTGCACACACTCTCATTTCTTCTACTGCGCACCACTGATTAGTTTGGGCCAGAAAAGAAGTACTAAACATACTGACAGAGAGCCAAACACATTGACATTTGAGGAAGCTGATGCATCAAGAACTACGTAACAACTGGGAAGTAGACTTGATATTTAGTTCCCTGTTTACATAGTTATTTATTGACTACGTTAGTTACCAGGGCAAGATATCCGCAAACGTACTGTAGAAACAAGTTTGTGTATCATTCTCTATCCCTCTACCTGCCTCTCCCTTATCAACAGACAATAAACTCCATTGTATTTGCAAGCACTGAATTCCAGACGAAGCGTATGTGCGTGCGTGTTTGTGTGATAATTCTTTAGAAAGGGTGAGATCCAGCGGAAAAGAGTGGGATTTGTAGAATTTGGACAGACATTACCAACAAACAAAACAGTTACTGTCCAATGAAAAGTAAAGGTCACTGGTCATAGATTCCCAGTCCAAAACCTTAAAGGCAGAACTACAGGAATTTAACAAAAGCCAGGACTTGATGATGGTGATTAGGACGTTTAGGGACACTGACCAAGACCAAGGCTATAATGCATGACAACTAGACACGACTAGGACTGTCCTGTACCCATAAAGACTAAAGCCTATGTGTATGGTTACCATGGCTCATAGATAACATTCCAACAAGGAGCATTGCTAGTAATTACATTGGTGATTTCCAGTCAGCAAAATGTAAACAATTAGACATTAACTACGACCCAGAGAACGACAATTCAGAGTAAAAAATTTTATGAGAACTGGAGATTGCTGCAAACAAGAAAACGCTGGAGATTTGTCCTCTGAAAGTATCCCAAGACCTACAAGATGAGACCATGAGACAGGCAGGTCTTGAATTTGAACACACCAAAGGTGCAGAAACTAAGTAAGATTAACACTCCGTTGTACACAAAAACAAGAAAGATTTAAACGAATGAAAACAGAATTAAAATATTCAATTCATGATTTTCATATTTTTCATTGAATCCCCAAATTGTGAGACAATTCAATGAAGGAGTTATTCTTAAGGTTTTAGATGTGATTCTTACGACTAGTTTCTCTGGTTGAAACAATATCTCGTTGTTTAAGTGTGAATTCACAATATCCCTTACAGAGTCAAGCCTCCCTTCAAACATTAAAACTTATATTAGATGCATTACAGCTGCTGTGTGCCAGAACAAATTATCCACAAGAACTCCAGAGATATTTCAAGGGTTTCATAAAAAGCCATGACTCTCCTGTGAATTTGTGATTACCCCAAAGGTATTTATGGTTATTTGCAAAGTGTGTTTGTAGGCTGTCAGAACGGCCCTGAAAAGGATCTGAAAGGATATAAAATGTTGGACATATAAGACGAAGGATGTCAAAAATTGAGCTGCCAGGCAGGAAAGCAGGACAGGCCTGTGGAAGATGATCGAAGACGTACAGTAGTAAACGAGGACATGAGGGTAGCTGATGTCACAGTAGAGGAAGGTGTGTGTGTGTGTGCATAAGAACACAAAAGTGCATTGACATGGGCTGAAAGAAGCCTCATCCGGTGCATCCTGACATGCCTGCCGCTGGGGCATGATTGTCCTTTCACAATACAAAGCTCATCAGGCAGCGATTAGGTCCTCTGGCGTAAATTGGACTTTATTCCATGCTTCATTAACAAGTTTCACCTGGACACACTTGAAAACATATAGTTACACGCCTAGTACTAGTACTACTATACAGTTACACAGGTGAACCGTTTGGTACATTTGGTACGCCCGTGTATTTGTACCTAACGGTTTGGGACAAATACACTGTACCGTGACAGCCTTCCTATATAGCTGTTCTAGAACATAATATATACACATTTTTTTTCTTTATATATACTTTGAATACCATCTCAATGCCCACAGGTGTTTATTTAAGCTAAAACTTTAGCTCAAACATTAAAGCTTGAGTCAAACCAGCCTTACTGTATGAAGGACAATAAATAAATTGATTGTTGAAAAGCTGACTGACACAATGGCTAAACAGATTTTGATTCTGAAACTGATTAATATTGTTCAGGACTACATAGCCCGCAAATAATATTAGTCAGTGTCACAATGCTAAATAATGACTTAAATCTACCAATTATACTATATTTTTAATATTTTACCAACTACATTTTTCCATGTTATGAATCCCATGGTTTGGATTAGTCAGGTGAAAGCAACAATACCTGTTGTTATTTGTCTTTCTGATTCAGCATTGTACAGCAAAACAAAGTTGGGGAATTAAGAAATATTGATTGATCTCAATTGATCGTGATTAATCTTTATGGATTATGAACACGGTTAATTACAAATGCAGGTACCTAGATATTATTCGGATAAATAATAGGTAAATGTTTAACCCCCTTTTCTGTTTAAATTGAGATTAATGTTACTTCTGAGCCTCAAAACATGTTCGCGCTTGGCTGGGGGTCCACAAAGTCTTTATATCACTCTGGTCTATCACAGGGTTATCTCCTTGTTTGCGTGATTGCTTGTTAGTTAGTTTACCTCAGTATTAAAGCCGCTGTCTTCTTCCGCCGCGTGCGCTCCAATCGCGCACAACCATATTGCGATGGTGATGATGTGTCTCCACAGTAACCACAAGCCCAAATCCCGAGATAATGAAGTGCCCATGGTCCCACTGGGGTAATATGTCCACAATGTGTTTAAATAAGTGTCCCAACCACAATAATATTAATAATAAAAAAAAAAAAAAAAAAAAATCAGAGCAGCGTTTTAAAGGGACGCCCCTCCATTGAAATCACCACTCTTTACGCGCACGTCAACTCGTTCACCTATTCAAGTGCACTTTTTCGGAACATTCAAGAGAGCAGCGGAAGGCACTGTAAAAAAAATGTAGAAAGTATTTACATACATTTTAATTGGCAAAAAAAAAGAGAAGACGTGAGAAATAAAACTTCAACAGCAGAGACCACGGCTTCTTCTTGCTCTCTAAGTTTTTCAAAATAAAATATTAAATAAAAATAAATGCATATGGAGATTGATCTTCTTATTGTCCATTTTCCCGTCTATTCCCGTGATTCGTTATCCGCTGTTAAGAGTGGGGTCGGTCCCAGTCTTCAGTGCGCAGCAGTAGGACGGTCAATAATCCACACACCACCGTGTAAGTCTTTCTAACTCAACTTCATCTCACACGACTTCCGCTTTAGAATTTCAAAGTAAAAGTTCGATTCATATTAGAAACGTAGGGCATGTTTGTTCTGTTAATTTTTAGGTTTCGTGAGCTGTTGTCAATGTTCTTTATCACAGGCACAGAGTGTGTAATACGACTTCGGCATTAAATAAAAAAATAGAAAAATTAGGGACTCAATATGGGTTCAAGTAAAACATACTGCAAAGTATATATATATATATATGCTGGAATTGTAATTCCGTAAAACATACTGCAAAGTATATATATACGCTGAAATTGTAATTCTCTTGTAACCCAGCTCTGGTCCAGTTCATTTTTTGACTTCCCCTTTACATTTAGACTACAGATTTACATTTTTACACATTTTACACTAAATACGCTAATCAACAGTCGTCTCAATTTTGCTTCCATTGACATTTATTTTGAAGGCAGATTTAATTTCCAGTGTAGTCTTTGTTCCTGCATGTGGGCTTGCTTGAATGACCAACCCACAAACAATGGCTTTATTAAACAAATGGAAGGGACCATGACCGCGCCCCCAACACACACGCACGCGCTCTTGTATTGATTGACAGCCTTCTGGATCCGTTTACTTTCAGTGACTGACATTTCAATTTGGTGCGCCGCTTTCCAGAGAACCACAAAATATAGATTTTTTTTTTATTGTTTGCATGAGAAATTGTCCAAGTGGGGGTTCATTACATCGGGTAAATTGGTCATCAGGATACATTACAAAAGGGCTTTAAAACCACTTGTACATCCAACCAAGTAGACACACTGATTACTTCAGCAAAAGTGTATGGTCACACGTGCACAGAATCACGAGCTACGGGTGCTTTCATAAACACAGTGTGGCTACAGTTTGTAAAGACAGAACAAACATCTCAAAACGTCAATGCAAAGGATCTCAAAAGCAACACGAGTGAAAATATTCAGTGATATTTTTAAAAATATGGATCAGACAGAAATTAAGGGGTATCCATGTACTGTCTTAAAAAGTCTGGTTATGGTCAATGTACAAACAAACAAACAAAATGTAGGTGCTGAAATGTAGGTGCTGAAGTGCCAAAAAAGTCAGCAATTTCCAACCTTAAAATTTACACTTTTACAATAAGTGGAAATAATACCCCAGACGATAGGCATACATTAAAGGATAGTGGGAGTTTATTGTAAATTTAAAGCAGCATTTCTGCTAAATGAGATTGTCAGAATTGGGAAACATGAACAGATACTCATCCATCATGCAATACAATCAGAACGGCATCTGACTGAACATGACGAACCCCAAAAATGCTCAACGTCGTTCAGAACTACTGTATCTGCTGGAGAAAGAAGAACAAGGGGAACAAGTGTTTTAGATATTTTAACAATGTGCATGCTAAGGTGGCCTACTGTACCTCGAAAACTGTGAACTTATCAAGAGTCCACAGAAATGTAACCACTCTACCCTAATCTTACTGTACTGCCGCCCTCTGTCGGCGAAATGAGACATATGCAGCCTAATTTCGGCCATTCAAAATGTAGATTTTTTTAAATATTAAGTACAGTTACCTTTTCACTTTTTTAGACGTAGGTATATATATATATTATACCAATTTTTAGGTTAACTACTTTGACCTTATGCAGATGACACCACCGTAGTTGGACTCATCTACGATGAGGACTAACTCCACTGTTTAATACTTATTTGTATTTTGTCTTATTTATTATTTGTTCAGTTCATCCCTTAGTTGTTTTATTTGCATATTTATTATTTGTTCAGTTCATCCCTTATTTGCACATGTTTTTCTGCAGTTTTTACTCTGGGCTATTCATTATTCTTGAAGTTAGCATTGTCAAAGTTTACAAAATCAAAATAGGATGTTAAATTTCAGACCAACACTTAATTTTATGGTGACAGAACTTTATTGGACACAGCCTTCATATAACTCTATTTCTATTCCCATTTCTACACATTTCTATTCCCGTAGCACCTCTGATGCTTTCTGTTAGTACAATAACAAAAAACAGTGTGTGAACAGTGACAAAACAATCTTGTGGTGTGGGCGATGGGGGGGATTGTCTTTGAGTACTCTGCTTCCTCCCCCATTTTTAAAACTTCATTATAACGACATGTTAATTAAAAATAGACCTGTTCATATTGTATTTGTATAGCTATAGTATGGGCCATTATGTAGATAGAAGTGATATTTCATGTGGGAAAACGTTTCTGGAATTATCAGAAAGGGAGTAATGGAGGGCAAGTTTAAAACAAAAACCTCAACTGTGTGTTTGTGTATAGAGTTAGCTGAACCTATTTTTGACTGTTTGCTTTCTTTACATATTTTGTATATGCTTGCAACATGGGAATCTTTTTAGTAGGCTTTATAACCATTGCCGTTTTTCCCGAGAACTAGTAATCGCCAGTCGGTTAAGTTAATTTTCCTCAGCTGTTTACTTTTCCGGGTCGTCTTGAACGCAGCATTAAGTCTGATGGACGTGTGTGTCCCGGGGCGAAAACGTCATAAGCTCGAAATCTTCCACGGAGTGGGAACTAAAGGGATAGAGAAATGGAAGTGGTTTGACTAAAAAGGAGTGACTAACAGATGTTAGTTTAGTTTCTTTAAACCTATCGTCTTAGGTCAGTTTTTATTAGAGTTTATTCTTCAGGACAAGCAGGTGCACGTGGATGGCGATAAAAGGCAAAGTCAGCTCTGTGTTAACAGAGTCAGTAGTTTGAAATGTTTGTAACGTTAAAGGGTCACAGCTTTTATCTCGTTTTAAAACATTGGTGGAGTATTAAAGTCGTTTTTCTTTTTGAAAAACTGAAGAGTTCGTTTATTTCAAAGTAGATATATGTTCTCGAAGATTGTGAACGTTAACTCTGTAAGAAAAGTAAAAGATAAATACATAGAATATACAATAGTCAAACGTTAGGATAATCCTGGCCCAAATGGAGAAGAAGAAGAAAACCAACCGCACCGGGCACTTCGCAGGTGGAAGAGCCAGTAACAGAGTGGACAGGTAACGCAATAAAATCTTACCAAAAAGAACTGCTAAAATGTTAACTGTAGAAGTAGAGCCTCGTGAAAATATAAATGATGTGTTAAGTTTCCTCCGTTTGAATAATAACCTACTACAACTATTATAAACTCTTGTTTTTGTTATGCCAACTAAGTAAATCACAGGGTAACCTTAGCATGCTATCACCTCTATTATCATGCAACCAAAAGCATTGCGTCAAATTTCCATTAGAAAGCTTTGGGGGGATTTCTAACAAGATTTAAAAAACAAAACAAAACAACAACAACAAAAAAAAGATTTTAGCTCTCGGCAGCAACATGGGCCACTGGAAAGAGTAGAGCCAGTTAATTATTACAACGTTGAATGACAGGTTTCCTGTCCTCACAGGGTTTTTATAGTAGCTGGTAGTTGAATCAGTTGGTAGCCATGGCATGGGCAATATGATAGGTTAAGCAATAAAAAAACAAACAAACAAACAAAAAAGGCTCCTGTAATCATTAAGATATTGTGTTAATAGCAGTGGGTGAGAAATGGGTTTGGGTTAGTCAATCATATTTTAAACTAGAGAGTCTTTGCTCTTTTCACCATCTCTGGGGTGGCATATTCAAAATATTGGGTCAGACTGACTCAAAATGCAAAAAATATTATTTTGTATACATTGGTATAATTTAAAATATTGATTCAGTTAGGGTCTTTATGAAACAGGGCTGCAGAGGTAAATGTAAACGATACGGAAGATTCTGTTGTGCTACAGAAAAGACGTATATATATATACTATAAGAATGCAATACAGTACATGTAGCATACTAAGACTGATTATGACTGACATCAGTCATAATGGCATCATTGAGTTCCCTTGCCATGTGTACAGTCTGTGTGCATGGAACCCTAATCTTAGTGTTGGTCTTCAGGTGTAATGCCTAAAGGAAGACTTTGTTGCTCAATTAAGCCTTAAGCGTCAGAAGGATTATTGTTTACTAAAATAGTGAGGCTTAAACTATAGTTACATTAAGTCGGCACGTTTTGGTTAACATGTGCAGCAGCCATTACACTGGTCATATATTGCAATTTGCAGTGTGATTGCAATTGTATGAATGGATGGAGTCTTGCTGTATTATAAAATTGGAAGTTGCAGTTCTAGGTAGTTTTTCCTAAGCTGGTGTCTGATCCATTGCTGGGATGGAAATATATTTGCTCTGTTTTTAGTGCATTGTCACAATATACTGAAAGATCATATACATGTATTCAACATTTGACAAACTATATTTAATAAATGCATATTTTTTAAAATTAGATTTGCTCATGATCTACTAGCATTAGCTGCTGGTAGATCACATCTTATTGGGCACAGTACAAGTACATGTAAGAACTAGTGGTGGTACTTGATTAAAAACATGACTATAATTATTTAGGAGCTTTGTAATTAATTAATCACATATAGAGCAGAAACGTGGGATGTTTGTTGTTTCAAGTATTCATGAGCATCAATTGTATTGTTCTCTGTTTTGGCATTAGCTTTTGCAATGTTTATACAGAACAACTGTGTTAACAAGAAGAAAATAAAACTGACTCTGATTGTTTTCCTGCTTGGTGTCCTGGTTTGGGTGGACCGCACACACACACACACTGCACACCACCCTTTTTCCCAAAGAGTTATGCCACCTATAAAACACTGCATTCCAGTTCATTGCATCTTTTGTAAAACCCAACATAAAGAGATATCGGTAAATTCTGCTTATTCACATTGTTATGTAAAAAAATGGTATTGGGACAACCCAAACTTCAAAGTAGTTAAAATAACTTTTATGTGATTTTTGCATTTTTCACATAGTTGCACCTAACCATACAGTACAGTTCTAAACAAACATGAACTCACACTTGTTAAACCCAGCTTAACCTGTCTTTTTTATAACTGTTGAACATGTTAAAAATTCAGTTTCATTTCAATGTTAAAATATTGAGAGACAACATTTTTTGTGTAAAGGTAAATGCATAGGTAATTGATTTGTACCTTTTTTGTACAGGGTGGATCCATATGGCTTTGAGCGCTCCGAGGACTTTGATTTTGATTCATACGAGGAACTCATGTCTGAGTATCTGGTTGTGCTCACACGTAGATCCATCAAGTGGTCCAAACTACTGAAGAGCAAGAAAAAAGTGCAGAAAAATGTCAAATGTGAGTATTATCGTGTAAATATAGAAACACAACATTTACATTGGAATAAAAGACGGTTTTTAACATGAACGCACCCTCCCACATCCATTTAGTAAAACGTTACGTGCGTAAGGGGATTCCTAATGAACACAGAGCTCTGGTGTGGATGGCAGCCAGTGGAGCTCAAGACCAGTTTGAAAAGAACCCAGGATACTACCAGATGCTGCTTGGAGCTCAACATGACCCTAAGCTGGTGGAGACCATTCTCACAGGTCAGTGTAAAAACAGTTACACATATCTAATTTATGTTGTAGGACTATTACTAGCAAATATTAATTAAAGCAAAACATCAAACCATTAAAAACAGGAGCTTGATCACTGTAGTTTGACTGTCATTATTGTCCTAATTCTGCACTGTTGACCTTTTGCTGAAGATTCAGGGTGTTGGAAGTTAAGAATGTCAACATAAGTAACTACTCATCAAACGACACTGTCCTAACATTCTAACAAAAACATTAGCCGATGAAATAGCTTATATTAAGGCGCTCTCAAACCACACCCTTATCCACCAACGCCGGTGTTAAGATTGGATGTGGCAGCTGGTAAACAGGTTTCAGTGTTTAACAGCTCACCATTGTAAAGAGTTGTAAAGTTGGTCTCTGTCTTTCCATTGTTAAGTACACGACACAGTCTTTTACTGCTGGCTGAGCAGGCCGCATGCAGTATGTCTTTAGAGCTGTACCTAAAATTAAAACGGTCACCTTAAATTCACAGTTCGTCGAGCAAGTATCAATGTCAACGTTCTCCCTTTCAGATCTGAACAGAACATTTCCAGACAACATCCTGTTCAGTGAAACATCCAGGCCATGTCTGCAGAAACCTCTATACAATGTTCTGCTTGCTTATGGTCATCACAATTCAACTGTTGGCTACTGTCAGGTAACACTTTAGCATTCAACCCCTAATTTAGAAATTTCACATATTGAGCAACTGTACTAGTGGCCCCTCCGCAGCACTTTAATATTGTGCAACCTTATGTAGCGGCAGATATGGCTACCAGACCAATACTTCTTTTTTTTTTTTTTTTCCAAAATTGTGAGGGAGAAAAAATGGATAATATTTTTTTGTCTCGCAGCAATGATTATGTAATTCTGGCCATACAATGCCTCTATTTATCACGAATAAAGAGATACCTGTATTGCCCTGAATAAAACAAAATAGACATGTCATGGGATCTTTTTTTACAACCTCTATTTGTTTATTGAGTTAATAATTTAAAAGGCAAATGTTTTTACGAACTTCATTTGCAATTCTAGCTTGTAGAACTGGAACTGCATTACCTCCAGCACTCCCATGTAGGGGTCAGCAGATACTGCTTTGCTCAATCTTGTTTTGTATTCGGTGTAAACGCAAACAAGTGTTGAACTGACAGCGCCTCTCTTTGGTTTCACAGGGGATGAACTTCATAGCTGGTTATCTACTTATCGTCACAAAAGATGAAGAGAAATCCTTTTGGCTGATGGATGCACTCCTTAGCAGAATTTTACCAGGTGTGTGCTTAAAATGCAGCGGAGTTTCTTAACCTAAGAAATAAAGTTTTTTTTTTTTTTTTTTTTACACAGCAATGAACAATATTTGTAGCTTGAAAAAAAATGATAATCAATTGGAGACGCATGTATTAGTCTGTTATGGAGAAGTTACATCTATATCAGCGATACCCAACCTTTTCCCTGTCTCAAGGACAGGACAACCAGCATTTAATGATCCTTCAATGCTCAGCACCTTGCTACCGGTCTGTAGTAACAGGTTTACTTTGCCCGGTAGCAAGGTGCTGAGTATTGAAAGATCATTACATTTTCAAAATAAAACACTTTTTAGACTCTATTCTGTAGACTTGTATCCTGAATACCAGATTATCTTTAAATAAAGAAAGTAGAGGGTATGACTGGAATTTCTTTGAGTGAAGTAAATTAGTAAAAATTAAGTACATTTTTTTTCACTGTGTCCCACTGCAGCCTGATACCAAATCACCTTTGAACTGGTACCGGTCCCCGAACCGGGGGTTAGGGACCCCTTATCTTTAGAGTCTTCCATTTACAGCCGGCAGTTCAAGGGGAACTGTATTGCTGATGCGCCCCCCCCACCAGCAGAGTACACTGTAGTCACAGTTTGATCTCTGCTTCCCTTTTCTGTAAAAAAAAGAATTGTATGTCTATTAGGCAACAGAAGTTTATTTAAAAGCATTGCCATTTGTGTGTGCAATGTGTGTGCATATTACTGTACTACGGTTTTTTGGTGACAACTGACTTCTATATGTTCAACACAGAACTGAAGATTTCTGTCTTTCTGTTGGTCTAGACTATTACAGTCCAGCAATGTTGGGACTAAAGATGGACCAGGAGGTTCTTGGCGAGCTGGTGAAAATCAAAACCCCCCAGGTCTGGAGGACTATGATTGATCACAATGTAATGTGGACACTTGTGGTTTCCCGATGGTTCATCTGCCTCTATATTGATGTTCTGCCAGTGGAGGTAAGTGTCATCAGCTACTCTATTTGACAAAAAAAAAAAAAAAAAAACGTTTTCAGAATGACCAGGATCTCTTCAAAAAAACTTCATGGCGCACATTTTATAGTCATAAGGACGAATTGTAAGGATAGATACAAATACTAAAATACGGTGAACATCGCCATGCACACACACGACCTCCAGTCTGAATCCATGATTGCTTTGTATACACACCCTTGATCATTATCGGAATGCTGTAAGCCCCTCACGATTACGGGAAAGCCAAGTAAGACAAGTAAGTAAGGCTTCCGCTCTCAGTCTCTTTCATGAGGGGCTGTAGGATGGAGGGGTGGGTTGCCAGCATCACAGCATCCTTCGGGCCACACGTCCGGTGGCAACACACCTAGTCCGCCATCCCTAAGTCACAAGACCCCCACATCCTGCAAATGTTCGACAAAGGTTATTGTGCGATCCGCCAGCCCAAGTCTGACTCTCCGGTTGCTCCAAGATGGCCTTCCGCACTGGTACCTCGCCCTAACTGTCGCCACCAGGGTCAATGCTGCAATCTGGGCATCTCTTCACAGTGGCAGCAGATGTACTGTGCACTCCACCTCTGGCCACCGGCAAGCTGCTGCTGTTGCCATCCAGGAAAGACTGAGGATTGTCTGTCTGTCTGTCTCCATGCTCTGGAGCGTCATCCCTGCCAACAAAGTGGCAGAGCTTTGGGGGAGATGTCTCCCGCTTGGCCCGAGCCAACTGCTGATCCAGAGCCCCGGCTGAGTACGCAGCACCGCCAGCTGTTCTGTGGCCTCCACACGGTCTCTTAAATCGGTCGACTTCCCCTCACCATCTGTGCCAGCGCAGCGAGCTGCTGGCCCACCATGGTGCCACAAATTTTTTTTGCGTACAAATGCAACACATGAGTTCACCCTTTGACAGCAAGCGCCGACAGTTTACGATGCTTTATTAGTGCGGAGCTAGCAATACAGCGCTCCTGTGTCTGAAGTCCCTTCTGTACGTGTACCCGTCTCTTCGCTGTGTTCTCACTGTCCAGCCCTTCATCGTTCCCAGCTCCTACTTAATGTAAGGACCACTGGTCCATCTCCACAGTTTTGGGCTGTTCCCAGGAAGAGAAGTGTCTGGAAATGTTCTGACCTCAAAGATGGAGATAATGTGTGGTGTTAAACATAGGATGGCAAATCATAGAAAACACTTTTGTTTAGCTGAGTTACATGCTAATACATGTACCTTGTTAGAATCCGTTTTAAAGTTAATTAATATATGTAGATTGTTTTTATGTGTTATGCTAACATAAGCTCACAGTTGTGTTAACATATAACAAAGGCTTTTTGTGCACATCTTGAAACACTTCTTACCTATCTGATTCCAAAGACTAGTCATTTCTAACATAATTTGCCTGTGTCTGATTACTACATTAAATGTTCCAATCATAAATAACTGGAAATGTGCATCCCGATAGATTATGATTATTCCAAATGTGTTCATTTTTCTGCAGACTGTCCTGAGGATTTGGGATTGCCTGTTTTACGAAGGATCAAAAATACTGTTCCGTGTAGCGTTAACACTGATCAACCACAACCAGACTCTGATTCAACAGGCAAGATCATTGCCAGATGTTGTCCAGATCTTCAAGCAGATCACACAAGGACCATTTGTGAACGACTGTCACACTTTTTTGCAGGTAAGAGAAAAGCAATAATAATAAAATACATATATACAGTATAGGTGTGAGTGTATTTTAATAAATATATATATAAGTATATTATATATTATCCGCAATCAATTCAAAAGTTGTGTATAGCACACATTTTAAATGTCTTAAACAAAATGCCATAACTATTGTAAAAAATCACTTTGAATCAGCCTTTTTTTTATACAGTAGCGGTTAAATAAAATATTCAGTGCTAATCTCAAGTTAAACAATATAGTCAAAACAAATATAACTAAATTCTAAAGCTTGTTGCCACTGCCAGGGCATTAACGTTATCCTGTTATCCGCAAAATCCTGAGCCACAATCATAGCATTGAAATTTTTCAAAAACCAGCAGAAATATATATATATACTTTATATATTTATACACACTCACAGTGGTCAGTGGTCCCTCTTCTACGTATATTGGAGGCATCGTAGGGCTTGAAATATGGAATAAAACTTAACGAAACTTTCACAAATCTCGTTTGCCCGGACGTACAGGTTATTTCTTGCAATACCCTATATGTATGTGTTACAGAATGTCTTTTAGTTACCGTTTTTGTTCTTCTCAGACTAGAACATGCTTTTTTTAAATCAGGAAAATAATGAAAACATTGGAAATTTAAAAATTGTTATATTCCGCAAAAACCCGAGATAAGAGTTTAAAATCCACCATACATGAATACATTTAAGAAATAAAAAAAGCCTTAATGCACTTACGTGCGACAGTGTGTGTATGTGTATATATATATATATATATATTAAATATATAATATGTCTCCAGCATATCTTCACCGAGCCCGGAAGCCTTTCCACCTCAACCTTGACTAAGTTGCGGGCAAGATGTCGTTCACACATCATTTCAGAAGAGTCATGACATTAACTCACCTGTTGGAGGAATCAAGTAGGCTTTTTTTTGCACAATCGTTGGTCTGTTAAATTTCTATTTATGTGTAGGTTTTTTTTCACTTGTACTGTATTCATAATTGTATATGAAGTCTTAATAATATGCTTTGTAGTCTGATTTAAGGTCACACTATATTTAAATGAGTAGTATAGTGATTCCAGTGGCTGTTTACAGCTCGCTTTTTTGTTTCTTCCAAGAAAAAGTGTATTGAAAGTCTCGATGAAGATTGTAGTTCTAACAGAATGTAACTTGCTTTTGTCTAATTGTTTTCCGATTAGGTATGAACTAATTATTCTGTTTCAAAATGTAAATGTCGTGGAGATTCTGTATAATATTTCCCCTTTTTGTTTTGAAATTTGAGCTGAGGTTTTGAAAAACATTCATTCATTCATTCGTCAGTAGCAGAATTCACTTATCACAAGTTTAGAGTTTTGGGCCCATTAGTGACAGGGCATGTATTTTTTTAAATATAAAATTTACTTCAGAATACAATTGTCAGGACCAGTCCAACTACTATAAAAAGCACATCTTATTGTCCGTAAAATACAGCAAGCTCTTCATCATCAACACAACGCAGCAAATTTAACACTATTTTGATCGGGGATTATGTGAAGACCCACAGAGTTTCATTATCATCTCAACAACAATCCCCTCCGTACTAAGAAAAGAAACACGGTAAAACAATCCAGGCCTCATGCATTTACCACGGCAAAATAACTACTGCAATTAACTTAAAGTTCCATCTTCCCAGTTCAAAAAACCCGCTGGGTTTAGATGGTCTGATATCCAGCCTGACTCCTCTTTCTGCCAATCAGGTAGGCAATGAGCACAATCAGCACAAGTCCGGCCAGAGCTGCTCCAACTATGATGGGTATGAGCATCTGGTCCTGGTCCATCTGACACTCCTCAGCTGGAAATAGAAAAGATTAGATTGGAAGAAGAGAAAATGATGTAGTGAGTGCTGGTGCAGAACTGAGAACAGTGTTCATTAGATTATTTGTCAGTGAAGCTGGAGCGAAGAAGGTAAGATTTGTAAGACAGCCGTGAGACGTAAGGGGGAAACTGAGAGGGCAGAGAATGGGAAATACTGGTAGATGAAAAGATAGTCAGCAAATTCTATGTACAATATGTACAGTGAAGTAGCGTGGTTGGGATCTTAAGCGAGCATAGATGAGCATACAGTTGTTACGCAGTACAGAAAATGTCATTAGCGAAACAAATCTAGCACAGTTGGAAAATATTGCACCTTTGATAGAAATATTGCAGTTGAAGAATAATTGCACTCGCACACAAATGTATAAAGAATCACAAGTGTACATTCTTTGTAGCATATTCTGCTTAGAGAAGATCATGTAAACCTTTTCATAGAGTCCCATATGATAGACTGAAAAACTGTTCCTTTAAGTCAAGAGTATAAACTAGGAATGTCCGATATTCATTTTTTGCCAATATTGCGATATTGTCCAAACACTTAAATTCCGATACCAATATAGCGGCACAGTGGTGCCCAGGTGGTTAAGGAAGTTAAGTGTCATCTGCTCTTTTTTTTCCACGTTTTTTCTAATGTTCTGGAGGAGGAAAATGTGTTTTTGGAGAAGCTAGGTTGAGAGCAACAAAGGAGTTTAGAACGAGTTACTGCAACTGTGTTTCAATAAAAGTTCTTCAGACCGCTGAGGCACCTGACTGGTCTGTCGCCGGGGCATTGAACTATTTTTAGAGCACGCAGCATTTCACAAAACCCAGACGTGTTATCTGGTTTTCATTATCAGAGGAAAACCTGTTAACGATTCCTACAGATATTACATGATAATAATAATATCAGTCGGCCGATATTATCAGCATTCCTAGTATAAACCATGGTGGTTTATAATCTTGACTTGCCAACATGCAATGTGTTCAATGAATGTTTAAATGGTGACAAGAGTCGTCTTTACCTTCTTGAAAGAGGTAAGGAAAAAGAAATCTTGATACCTGTGGCAAACTGCTCAGTGGTGACTTGGAACGGTTGAATCTGAAGTTTGAAGGTGTTGAGAGAGAAATTTGCATCAACGACCAAAGTCTGCTCTGCGTTGCACATGTACGAGAGGCCCAGTGTGCTGCGAAGGTAGTCCAGACTGAAGTCACTGGCTGTGAAAAAAGCTGTAAAAAAAAAAAAAGACGTAGTCAATCGAAACTAGGGAAGTTAAAAATGACTTTGTTACTCACTTACTTGTCATATCAGACCAGTTGGCGGACAGCGCTAACCCACTCAGGTGGTACTTCCTAGTTGTAGAGTTCTGTAAAGATGAGAGATGGTTAATAAACAAATCAAAAATCACATGTGTAAAACAAAGTAATTTGTCTCATTGGATTTCACAGTTTTAAATAAAAAATGAAATTTTTTTAAACTTAAACTTCAAAAAAAACATTTAACGGGGGACAGTCAATGTGTTAAACATACTAGGATTGCCATCCTGTGGTTTCTAGTCTTGGGCTGTTTGAGCGCTTTTAATTAGGGTTGGCTCAATCCAAACCTCAGAATTGTTACCGTATTGATATTGGTCAAAATTTCAGGATTAAACATAGGAAAAAAAAAAATAACCGGACCGATCCCATACCTAAGCCCAAAGGCTTAACTTAACTTTGGCGACATGCTATAAACAGGGACACTTTCACGGAAGTCATTTTTAAAAGTGACAGAAAATGAACCCATGTTATTGGAAAAATAACTTTCTTGTCATATATTAACACAAGCGTAAAACTACAGCCTAACAACTGTCACTTTTATTAGTAAGACGATGGATCTACCAGGGAGAAGGTGAAGTTGAGAATGGTTCTTTGGTCCTGCGTCAACACCAGTGTTGCTCTGTTGGCGTCACATGATCCCGATGAATTTGTCAGAGAAGGATCCAGATTGACTACATCTCTGACCACCTGACAAAGAAGACAAATAGATGGTTTTCATCAGTTTGAAAAAAAAACAAAAAAAAACAAGCAATGGCAAATGACAATTTCTGCTCTACTCCTTAATGTCAACATTACCTCATTGTGAGATTTGGAGAGATAGGAGATATTGAACTGCAGTCCCATTTGTGCCAAAAGACAGACTGTGTTGTTTTTGAGCTTTACACTGTAGAAGCCCGACTCAGGTGTTCCTGAAGGAGCCGGTGCTGGAGCCGCTGTTGTGGGGG